ATTTATGACAATATATTAGGTAGGTATATAGAAATATACCATATATGAAAAACATGCCTTTGTAATATAAAATATTTTTTCTGTTCATTTTATGCAAATAGGTAATTGTAAACAGTGAGTCTGTCAGGCACATATTCTATTGGTCAGTCAGTTACTCTATTTATTTATTAATTTCCAGTTATTATTTGCCTCATTTGAAAATACAATTCACGCTTGAATTTAAATAGAATACAATAATAATTGTTTGAATATTTGAACCTATTATTTTGTTTACGTATTAAATTTATTGTTAAGTACAAAAGTCACGAGATATTTGTTTGGGTCACTGTAATATTGTAATGTCATGTTATTGGCCGTATCTCGCAGTTAGGTACTGTTTTGAATTTTTTTTGATAATATTATGACGCATACATTGCTTTATGTGATGAAATTCTTTTTTTGCACCACTTTAGGTTCTTTTTATCGCCACATTATTGTACTCATCATCATAGATAATGTTTCGTCTCCAGCTGGTCTCGAAAATGACGTAATCAAAATTCCGCGAGCGACGCAAGGTTTTTCAAGTTGCGACTTGTGATAACATGCAACAAGTTGAGTGACTTGCTAACGGTAAAAAAAATAACCAAATATGTTGACTTATTGAGGTTGTACCATAATCATTGCTCGCATAATGAAATTGCAATATTTTCAACTTTCAAATTTAGAATGCATAGAACTCGAGTCAGGAGAGCCGTTAGTTAATTGTGATGACATTTTTTTGTTACTGATTCCTTTTTAGAAAACAATATTTCAGAACAATGGATAGATTAATAAAATACAGATAAAAAAGACGACAATTACCTAATACAGGATATTAAACTATCCCGACCATGCAGTGCTAACATATATACACCTATTATAAAAAGTAATTTAAAAGTGCCTGTAGATTGTAATTAAAATGCTAATGCATGTAATTGGATTTCCTCTGAGACACTACCTTGAGACTTGGGACAGGACTTGTTTTAGACAGTTGTATTATATTAAACTCTGAAAGGCAAACTACAATCATGGTCGTGTACTCATCGCCAAAGTCAAAACCTAGATAACATTCACTCTATGCATGACAATGAAAATAATGGCGCGCTTTGTGCGATATGCGACAGACGGCCATTTGTAATCTAACCTCTATGGTTTCTACAGTTGCTTTTTTGGCTGTCACTGAGTACTTGTTGTCCTGTGTATACACAGTATTTGTTTAATTTCTAATCGTTCCGGTGATTCATTTAACAAAAATTAATGACATGAAGTCATTCTCCTCATCCCAAAGTTAATAAGCACATCATCGCTCTCGGGCATTTCAATAAGGATATTGATGATGATAAGTTACTTTCATTTTAATCACGTGCTTACCGTACCGTAGGTTAATGACTTGTTAAATATTTGTTAAAGGTTTTTATAAAAAAACCCTCTGATATTAAAAAATCTGTTTGTGAAGCCCGCCTTAAATAGGTTCTCTTTAAAAATATGATATAGAGTATTGGAATGTCTTATTTATTGGTATTTTTGGATGTCTATACTCGGTTAAATGGTTTTTATATTTTGGGACTTAGGAGTTAGGTTACATCTGATATGGTAACATCAATAACATCATAAACATGTTAACAACTTTAAGAAAATTTATAAAAACACAAATGGATTGGAAACTTTAACTGTCATTTCTTTTGTCCTAACACATTTTCCTCTCACATGATTTGTTTAATATGTATGTTCATATTGATGTGGCCTAGAATAAGGAGGTAAACTAGACAAACAAACTTATTAGGTCACCGTGGCGCCATCGTCACTGTTTTACGACATCTATTTTTCCGCTCCCCAAATACTTAAGGAGTTACTAGTGGTTATTTTGTGTTCGCAAAAAGAAATGTGGTTTCCAAACAGGGATGAGAAAAGTATTTGGTATGTACTTATTTATTTAAGACTTATGAGGGCGCTGGTATTTCCAATTTTCCTCTACGCGGCAGGGACGTGGACGGTACGTGAATTGGAAAAGGGGAAGATAGATGCTCTAGAGATGTGGTGCTGGAGGAAGATGCTTGGTGTATCGTGGACTGAGTTCCGCACCAACGTATCCATACTCCGAGAACTCGGCATCACAAAGCGTCTATCAACCATAGTACAGACGCGCATACTGCAGTACTTTGGCCATGTCTCCCGTCGTGATAATAACTCCATAGAGCGGCTGATCGTTCAGGGGAAAGTCGAGGGAACCAGATCATGAGGCAGATAACCTATGCGCTGGACTGGTAAAGTCAAATCGGCAACGGGAAACCCAGTGTCAGACTGCGCCAGACAACCCACAAACAGAGAGAGATGGTGGGAGATCGTGAGGAAAGCTGTATCGGCCACTAACACAAATACGGCCGCCTCAACCACCGCTCTGCCAAGAGCGATACGACAGAGAAGAAGAGACTTTATTTACTGAAAAAAAAATACTGGTTTCAATAAAACCAGTCTGGGAAACCTGCAAATCTTTTTAGGAAATATCTTTAAATTTGGCTTTTATAAATGACAGTTTATGCGGCGAAATAATAATAAACCCTAACTAATGTACCTAGTAATTTGTGAATGTACAATTCTCGGGGAAGGTCGTGGAATATCGGTATGGACAGCTTATATATTACCTATATATATGTATACCTTGTAACTATGAATAGTTAATACTTAGCCGTCAATAGAAGATAGATTTACGATGTAATAAATGTACAGGAAATCGGGATATAAATGATTGGGATTGTTATTTTTATATGGGTAGTATTATTTCATTATAACTAAGGAAATAATAAATTATTGAGAAAATAAAAAAAACAATAAACATTTTAATTGGTACGTAAGTAGCTATTGTATTCGAAAAGTCTGAGGGCTGATTTTTCAATCGACAGATAATATAATTCTTAACTGGGGAATAAAATTAACATTTGGTAGTTTTTAGTATGATATGAAAAATATGGAAGGAAAATTATTCCTCCGATATTTATCTGGAGCGTAGGAAAAATCAGCCCTGAAACATATTATTTCCAATCTTAGCCAATTACCTACTAAGTAAAAAAACAGCCTATTTTACAGTTTTAAATTAGAATTTTTCAAATTCCTTATAGTTCTTGTCTTCCTTTCTAAATATTTACCTACTAAAAATAAAATTGTTCAGAATTTAATTAATAAGCTACCTAAGTACCTCCTATAAAAACCGAAATTAAGCTCTACAGTGTTCTATTAACTGCTAGAATAAAATACCTAATAAATTCCACTTATGTAGCCAGCTAACACTTTTCGAATTTTAGACGTTAAGGAGCCTTATTTATGTACATTTTTAAAGGTTTTTTTGCCATCTAAGTCCTAATCATACGACGATTTCCGCAAGTCACGTTAAGCAAATATTTCACATGTTATACAGCATGGATACTGTCCATAATGTTGATGTAGTGATATATGCAGATTCGTATGAGGACACTTATAAAACCGGTTTAGCTATATTCCTTCCTCACGATGTAACATCGTGGCAACAGTATCGGCTGACTTCACTTTTTTGTACCATACTCAGTGTTTCGACCTCAGTGCTTTTTTTAAGAGAAGAGACGTAACAAAAGATTTATGTTCAGGTAGAATGGATCATGTTTTGAAGATCAAAAGTAGGACTAAAAATGTATTTTAATCCTATAGAGAAGACCAAGGAATTGCAAAAATATTACAGGTAGACAATTTCAGGTTATTCATTTAACGAATTCTACCTGTCTGCTTTAATTACGGTTGGAAGAAGTCACCTTTGTGTTTTCTGAATCGGGATACAAGCTTGGAACGACACGTGATGTTACCACAGAAATATTAAAAACAGATCCGACGAACTCATGCTTCATAAATTCGGAATGAATTCTGTCAGTAGTGAATGTCGTTTTAATTATGCACAGCTGTTTTCGTTGTGGCTAACTTGCATACCTACAATATAACTGATATTCTACAAAAAGTTTGTTAAAAATCGAGTAAGTAAAAAGTAAGGACGGTTGATAAGGCCAAGTTTCCATAATCAACAAAAAATATTCGAGTTCCGAAGATAGTGAGTAAAGTCTAAAGACTGGACGGAAACAGTAATTGCAGATATAATACATTTTTAACAGAAAAGAAAGTTTGCATGTTTAAAAGCATTACGGGCGAGAATGAAATGGCAAAACTTTGCGCGAACTCTGCGATTTCTAATGTTTTTGCTGGTCTAGTAGTTTTGAAGACAGACACAGGCCTTGGAGGAAACTATTGCGCTTGCTTGTCGTGCAGATTATTAGTGGGCTATTACAATAAACTGCTGGCTTGCAACTAGCCATCATAAGCCTATAAGGACACCATCATCAAATACCACAATTGCTGTGATTAAGTATTTATTATGCTTGAATCTTTATATGACATTCACGATGAATAATGCCAAGTGTATTATTTTCTAAGCCTCATCGAAGGTTAAGAATTTAAAATACCTACGTAACCAGATATTTTGCTTCTTATTTATTTGCTAAATGACAATAATGATTATGCATATATATACGAATTTCATGCTTTTATTTCTTAAGGTGTATGAGTAAAATGAATAAAACTCTTTCTAGATATTAATTTCTTACACACATACTTCAATTGTTATACCGGCTAAGGACATAGAAACCTATTTCATTAATCAATCAAATCAACGCGTTGATTGCATTTGCATTTCAAATAAGAAAGAGTCAAACAATGTCATTGTGATAGCTATGACAGTGTTTCGAACGTTTCTAGACACTCGCATTTTTTAATTGTTTCAACAATGGATAGTTTAAATAACAACCAGGAGACGAACTCAATTAAATAAACAACTACAATCAAAGTATAGAACCTAGTTCTATCAATCGAAATCGTTCCGTATTTTAAGGAGAAATAAGATTGAAATTATGAATGAAAGTCCAAAAAATTATACTTAAAAAAATATAAATAAAATGTGTGCAACTCACCTCTTCTTCTTGTCCTTCATGTTGAAATTTATTTTCACTTATAACAAAAACTCAGAAATAATACTGTTCAAAAATGGTCAATAATTTAACACTTAGATTTAAAAATGTTAATAAATATATTTATTGTCTTTTAACTAACATGTTTTACGTTAACAGCGTAGCACCAAAAAGGCCGGTTTGTTTTGTGGATACTTCAAAACATTATGAATGAAGCGATCGATAGTGCGTGTGTCAAGAAGCGGAGTCGGTGAGACCGCGGCGACTGACGACTGGTAGCGGGCGAAGCGCCGAGCGACTGAAGTAAGCGGGTTCGTGGCTCGGGCTCAGTCCTCGAGATCTACTGCCGTCTGCCGACCACTTACGTCAATCAATGAACTTCGCAAACCTTGAACATGCCGCACAATAAGCTCAAATGTTCAAAGCAGGCGATTAGGAACCGATCGAAATGTAAAGCCGACTAAACATACATTCAGAACAGATAATGCTGATAACGGTGGCTACACGTGAGATCGGCTTGTTAATATAGATTATGCAGTGGTACTCGATATTGAAAACGGAGCTTTGATTACTTCTACTATATGTACGCAAATATTTATACCTTTTGCGATCGTTAGATTATCATAATAACTAGATGTCTATTTAATTATTACTGCTCGCAATGTGGTTTGTTGACGTCATAAAAGTGCAAGTCAGTAGAATAAAAATTGTGCAAACTTATTTTCCAGTGATTAAAGTTAGTGTAACTTTTGTTTCATTGTAGTTTTTACTTTACAATGACCGAACCTAATTATTTAACCATTTAAAGTAACCGTTGATTATTAAAAACAGTACCTACATTTATTATTTATCTACTATTAGAAATAAGAGAAAATGATTCCGAGAATTTATTTCTCGTCGTGCAGATAGACGATGCTATTAGCGACATCTTGAAAGTCTGAAGCGGAAGTTTCAGTGACTCAGTAAGTAGGTACTTTGGTCAAGGTGTGTTTGAAGTTCTTCATTGATCCGGCAGATGTCATGATCTAAACAATATTAACTTAAAGTAGGCACAATAAAGTTATTTTTTGTTTAGTACAGTTAAAACTGAAGATGTGCAGCTCGCCAATAACCCGATATTTTTTGGTGAAAAACTATTGCATTTCGGGAGATTAAAATAAATTATCCATTTCAATAGCGCATTCACAGGTCATTTGCAATATGTATGTAACAGTCAGAATGTTACCGCAATAGCTAGGTAACCACTATCATTATACTTTGTTCATGCCACTGGTTACCGCAGAAAGACTGGTACATAGTTACATTCCCAGTAAGTAACCTAGTTGCACAGGAAATTGCTTCTACTGACCGAAGGGGAGCCAGAGACGCGCATAATGTACGTTTTTATTATGAGTTAGTTTTCCTTAGTCCATGAGAGAGTAATAAAATGAACATCTCCATCTACTATAAGGGGTGTTGTACAGTAAAACGCTCGCTGTATACCTAGTCGATTTTCATGAAATAGTAATCGACCAAAAAGTGTTTTTGAAATGTATTAATGTATTTTAAACTAGCGACCCGCCCCGGCTTTGCACGGGTGCAATATGCATGTATTATACACATAAACTTTCCTTGAAATCACTCTATCTATTAAAGAAAACCGCATCAAAATCCGTTGCGTAGTTTTAAAAATCTAAGCATACATAGGGACAGACGGCGGGTAGCGACTTTGTTTTATACTATGTAATGATATCTCTTGAGCCAGGAATCGAAGCCCATGTTCTCCTATTTGGTAGTTGCACTACTTACAAACTGATGAGGCATTGTACTTGAAAACGAGGCTCACTACAATTTCTATTCAATATGCTCAGATACTAATTTCAACACTTACCCTTCGGTTTCAGCATTTCAGTATCTAACTATACAATTTTTTTTTCATGGTATTAGGTCGGTGCGGTGTTTAGTCACTATCTCTCCTTACAACCATGTAAGCGACAAGATATGATGGGTCCTACGATGAAGCAGGCCTGCCTATAGGTAAGCAACCGAATAACTCGAGACTTGAAGACCCTTCAGGTACCCTTGGACCTACCGACCAGTTTGGCTATTAGAGATTAACTAAAAGTCGCAGGTTACTCACGTCACCTCACGTGCAAACACTGAGAAAAGCCGCACACGCTGCTCATGAGGAAGACCCCCTCTGTGGTTCGAAACTAGTAGAGCTTTTCTCTTCTTCTTAATCTTCCAATCGAAATGTGCTTAAGTAGTGTGGGAACTTCAACAATTGGTGTGTTATGATAATTTTTTTTACTGTATCTAATGGCCATTTATTATTTAGTAGTAGTCGGTCAAAAGTTAAATAGGCACCGCGGTGCGTCATCCTCTTAACGATCTTCAGCAATTGTATGTTGGCCAGTAATGGAGAATTACCTTGCATGCATGTAGGTACCTAATAATGTTGTAAACAAATTAATCAATAGCCAAAAAATATTGATTAATGCTTACTGGTTTGATTATTTGCGATCGCACGCAAATAATCAAACCAACCAAATTTTATTCAAACTGAATTCGGGAAGTAGGCAAGGAAAACAGACGAGTTTTTATTCACTTGCCACGTATATCTAAAACTAATAAAAGTAAATGCTTAGTAGGGAAAAGAGTGATGATCCTTGACAATCTCGCTCGATTTTGAAGCATTTTGTTATAATTTGGTTTGGTTAATTTTCATAATTATATTTAACTAGCGACCCGCTCCGGCTTTGCAAGGGTGCAATATGCATGTATTCATATAGGTAAACCTTCCTTCAGAATCACTCTATTTATTAGAAAAAAAAAACACATCAAAATTCGTTTCGTAGTTTTAAAAATCTAAGCATACAGGGATACGGATAGCGACTTTATTTTATTCTATGTAGTGATCTAAATAATTATGATTTGAATACCTACTTAAAATCATTAGGGGCTTTGAATCATCAACTCATGCTTTATAATTATGATTTCCACATTAATTTCATATCATTTATAAATAACTTTACCTGCTCTTTAATGAGTTTATGACCAAATTGACGTAAATAAATAAAGGCAATCGGTTATGTGCTTTTGCATGTCTACCTGTGACGTTTTTTTCCAAATTTGGTCCTACAATGTTCTACGTTTTATTTCGAGGCTAATCTAAAATTCTCCTTAGCCTGCCTCGTGACAGAGTAGGGTGCGGAGAACACGTGTTTTTATCTAAGAGCAACAAGGCGTCGCGATTGTCACGTGGAAGTCTGTATGGACTGACACGGGCTACTCCATATTAAACACAATTAGGTAGGTATTAGACTCTATAAGGTACGTATGTAAGTAGATATGAAGATTGTACCTATCTAAATGATAATTGCTGCACTTTACAGTTCATGGGTGATAGGTTAGCGTAGGTAACGTGTTGCTCATGCTGATTTATTATGCTGAAAGAAAGCATTTGGGTAACCTACATATTTTTCTATTTTTACCTAAATCTAAGTCCTGAATGTTTCAGAGGCAAGCATTAAAACCAACAGAATGAGTAGCTCTATTTTAAAGCTATGAATTTACTACAAATATCTACCTACCTACCTGAGGTAGATGTCATTACGGAAACGGGAAAACCGAAAACTGCTTTTATCACGTACCTACTTTCCTGTATTATTAAACAAAAAATGATTTTATATGGCTAACACTAGCATGGGCGTAGCCACACTGGGGCAAGCTGGGGCACTTGCCCCACCCTGGGCCCTGGCTCTGACCCATAAGGTGTCGGATTAAACAATGTTTTTTTTACTAACTCTAACTAACAACATCAATATAACTATTACTATCCGTAATTGCGAGATCCTACTGAGACAGTCTTTAGCCAAATTTAAGAGATCAACAAGTTTGAGATTAACGGCTCAAGGTACAAAAAATCGGAGGGCCACCGCCCTCCCCCGGGGGATTTTTTTTAAGGGGGGAAAATCATCGAATGACTGCTCCCGCCTGTGTGAGACGGGAGGGAGTGTCAGACTCTTACTGACTAAAAACCACCCCGTTCCTTCTCTTGTACGTCGAGCCGGAGCCCCGGTTACCCGTTAGGGTCTCCGCGACTCCGAATCGGCTCCCCCCGGGGATAGGTTGGCTGCTGCCCCACCCTGAGCCCAAAGCTGGCTACGCCCATGAACACTAGATTCCATTAGTTCGTACTGGATTTTTATTAAGGATTAAAATTGGAAGTGACGTTTGATGATCGATGATTGGAAATATTGAATAAGTACCTAGTTTATCTTGGCAAAATCTGGCGTAATGTGGAAGTGCTATGTCATCAACTGATAGGAAGGTTTGCCTATCTATAGGACCTACCCGAACTTATCTTGACGTGAAACAAAATACCTATTTTATTACTTAAGTGACAAATTCGTCATTTACGCAATGGCTTGTAAGATAAAAAAAATAACCCAAAATGTTATTTGTATTCATCATTTAATTGCGACATGATACGCAATATTTAACAATGACAATTATTTATTGTTTGAATACAAACTGGTCCTTTAAATATATTTCCTCTTATTTTTCTTCGATTTAAATAAATCATCGCTCTATATTTAAACATTTACACACACAAAGAACATATCTAACTCACTTCTAGGTACTAGTCTAAGAAGTATGATTCTGTAAGACAGTGTTTCCCAAAGATTGTTTTGCGCCGGTTTCACCACCTCCTTATAACTACCTGATAGGTAAACTTATGTGACAGATAGTTAATACAACTTACGTTCTTAATTCAATTTTATGTGGTAGATAGCGGCTAACCAGATATTGTGAAACAGGTCCTTAGATTTAACATAACATCACGTCTTTTATTCCCGAAGGTGTAAGCATTACGGCACCTAATGCCACTGTATGTACAATGTAACAGACACTTTTCACAATTTATGTCATGCGTCCCATGTAATAGGGGGTGAGCCTATTGCCATTTACCGGGCACAATAATTAATACTTCCTGCTTTTGATCAACGTATACAACGGATATAACGTATATAACGGATATAACGTATATAACGGAGTCTTTCTTTTTTTTTTAAGGGGGGAAAATCTTCGAATGACTGCTCCCGCCTGGGTGAGGCGGGAGGGAGTGTCAGACTCTTACTGACTAAAAACCACCCCGTTCCTTCTCTTGCACGTCGAGCCGGAGCCCCGGTTACCCGTTAGGTTCTCCCCGACATGTTGCACCCGGTTATGTTAGTGCCGGGTACATAATGGCGATCCGACATTTGAGAAACGCTGCTCTACGGATTGCAGATAATGTTATTATTTCAGGAATGGCATGTTTATTTAGGTTCAGAAGTCGAATGGTGTTTTATTACTGTTTGAACAGCGGTCTTACGACCTTATGACTCAGTTACCTTGACAATGACTGATACGTAAACCACGCTTGTTCGAATTCATAGTGCGTACCGTTGGAGTTGATTTAATTAATTCAGTCACACATGCATGTTGTAATAGATCTTTATGGATAACGCCAATCATTGGTGATATAGTGACGTAGTAGTCATACTTAGGTACACAAAGCACCGCTAATTAGTTCGAGGCGCTACACATCGACATTACTATCATTTACACAGTGAACATGTGTGGGTAATTTCATATTAATAGATATGTATAGAAACATTCGTTCTATCACACACATCTTGGTATTACATATCATTTTTGTGTCGGTATACGTAATATTTTAGTAAATAAGTTTAAATAAAAACGAGGGTAAAGATAAAAATACTCATAACAAACTTTGAATAAATCGAAATCAAAAATAATGAACGATCGAGCAATACAATACTTATATAAATATAGTGCATTCTCATTGTATTTTTATGTTACTGAATGATATACAATATTTCGATGTTCTCATCTACGGCGCGCTTGGCGCAATGGTTATCGCCTCCAGTGGTCAAGTAAAGTGCCACCGGATCGATTCCAGCATTCACATGTTGTTTTAGTATTAATTAATCAAATATTTGAAATGTGAAATTAGAAACAATTAAATCTTTTCTTTTTTTCCTATCCTATTTTTCTAAATCTTATGTTAATTTTAATAGTAAATACTTTAGATTTATTTATACCTATAATATCCTTTATTTATATTTTAGTTCTAGTTATTTATTATTTAGAATAATTTAGAATGATTGGAAGAACTTTAAAGTTAACATGTGGTATATAATTAATTATTAGATATAAATATTGAATATAAAACCACATATTTGTATAATTAATAAATTAATTTTAATAAAAAATAGTATTGTTTTATTTACCGACTGATTTGCTTCTTTTATAGCCTGATATTTATATTATATGAAAAAAAAAAAAAAAAAAATAAATAAGAAAAACAACAAGGTAAAATAAAAAAAAACTTTTAGCTGGAATAGAACCCACATCATCATTGATCCTTGAAAGACGATAAAAGCGTACTCATTAACCAATCGACCACGAGCACTACGATAATTATAGTGAAAATGTCGGGTCATATCAATGATTGTAAATAGTTTTAACCTTACCCATGCATTAAATTATAAAAATACGTATACCGACACAAGAATGAAAATACCAATGTGAACGTGGTGGACGAATATTTTTATACACAGTAATATGAAATTACCCACACATGTACATTGTGTAAATGACAGTAGTGTCGATGTGAGCGTTACGAACTAATTAGCGGTGCTTTGTGTACCTACTAAATATTGTCACATAGGTTTAGATCATAATAATGAGTTTTTATAGTTATTTTTTTTTAAGGGGGGAAAATCATCGAATGACTGCTCCCGCCTGGGTGAGGCGGGAGGGTGTGTCAGACTCTTACTGACTAAAAACCACCCCGTTCCTTCTCCTGCTATATTGTTATTTAGGCCATCTTTTCTCTTGTAGAAATTTAATTTTCCGATCAGATAAGCACGATTAGAAAGTTATGTTCAGGAATTCTAGCGCCATTATAATTATCATCAGTCCGATTCTATCTGTTGCTGGGTAGAGGCCCACTTCGTTTCCATCTGCTGCATATCCGGAAATAATTGCGGATATTGTCATGCTACCTGGCTGAGAGCTATTGATATCACGATACGATATGATTGATATAAGTACCGATCCTCAAATTAGATGATTCACAAGCAAGGCACTTAAGATCTAGTTACTGGAAGATTGACAATCAGCTTCAAGCGAGAGCTGTTAAAGATTTGATTACCTAATTCTTTAAGTAAGATATAGAACGATATAAGAGAAAGGCTTTTTCCTATACAAACATAGGTGTCTACTTAGATAGATACAATGGTTATGATAATATTTATTGACATTGTAACTTTACGTAGGACTACGTAGTTTTATTGATTAGGTAAACATGTTTTGTTTACAATTTATTTGTTGAGAAACCAGTATCCACTCCTGTTGTGACGCTTTGAATTTCATTGATTCTCGTTAGTTTGTTTTGTATTTTAATAGGTACTTGTTTACTAACAGTGTTTGTGGCGTCTACAATCTACTACACATCGGCCGAAAGATGATCACTACTTGATAAAACACCCTGCCATAAAGACCGGTTTGCATAATTATCAACTTAATTATGTTGCTACCTTGGTACCTACATTTTTATACTGTTTAAGATTTGTTTAATTTTCAATTGTAATAATTATGAAACAATCGATATTGTTATTCAGAACTGTGTCAGTGTGGCGATTGTTTTACGTACAGGTATTTAAACAAATAATGATTCAGGTTTTTCAAATTTGTTTAAACTCATTTTTTCGAGTTGGACCTACATATTGAGGTAGGTATGTATGTGCCACTGAATCTATTACGTCAATTTAGGTAAAACAAGTTGAATCACTAGAGAAACATATTTGCACCGTTATTACAATGTGGGTCTTAGTACTGTTGTGCACCGCTGGGCTATGAATGTGAGTCGAGGACGTGTTAATTGGAAGCGACCGTATGACCCGTTACAGTTCCTCAAATTCATCCATAGGGTAAACAGATGCACCAGATGTGTGTGTCATACGTAGTGATTAGCGTCCCTATAAAACATGAACATTCGCTCCAACTCCGATACAAAGGGATTAGCCGTTGACACAGTCAAGCTCTCTTAAGAACAAGAACTTATAACAAAATATCACCATGTTCGCTTTCAAGTTATTGTGTTTAGTACTGTTCGTATCTTTCGTGTACGTTGAATCTAAACCGTTAACCACACTAGAAGAGACGGAGCCTCTTGCAGAAATCAAACAAATAGCGCCTATAGACGACGGAGAAATGATGGAAGGAGCAGAGTCTCAAAACCCGTTCCTACCGCGATTTGCTATGAAAAAGCTCCGGGAGCGCAGTGATAAGGCTAACGCTCAGAGAAGAATGTATCAAGACTCGAGGAGGAGATGGAACGCACCACAGAGGGTTCCGTGCCCAGACAGATATTATTATTATTAAGTGAGTATCTACAATTATTTTATGCGACTATAATTTTGCGGACAGTGGCGAGATGTTTTGGGTCAAGTCTCTACATACTTCTTTACATTTCTTCCAAGGGTAGACAATTTATTTGTTAACATTCTTAGAAAGCTTTCACAAGTACTATTTTGTTTTCCTTTGCGTATTTTTGTGAATTTCCGGTATATGAGCAATATATTTACAAATGAAATTTGTGTCTCGCCACACACCTTTCTTTGACCCCGATCTTTTATAATAAAAGACTACGTTACTAGACCAATTTCACATTGTAGTTTTTGACGCGATACCATAAAGTATATTTTAATATTTCCAGATAAAAACGCAATGAAGTTACTAATAAGTTTAATTTTAACGGCGGGAGTCGCCTCTGTGATTGCAAATCCAGTTACTCAAGAAGAAAGTATAATCATAGCGAACGAACCACCTTTAACAGAGACAAGTGAATCCGAAATAAAGATAGAAGATGCGGTAGTGAACAAAAATGATGCGGAACCAACCAAGGTAGAAATAATTAGAGAAGAACAATTAGTGCCCGAACCTAGTATTGTCGAAGAAGCTCCTAAATTCGACAACGGTGAAATTGATATAGTGATCGAAGAAAGTGTAACACCGTTGGAAGTTGTATCTGACGAACAGAATGAGGTCAAAATTGACGATGACAACTACTTGCATCCAGGAGACCAGCTTATTGACAATATTTTGGCTGAAAGAATTAAAGATGAAATTATGGATACCGCCGAAGGATTTGCACCACTTCCACTCCAGTTGAGGAAGAAGCACAGACAACCTGCGCGACGGCGATTTGCCATCCGACGACGTTACCCAGCGTACCCTTACCCATACACGCCGTACCGAAGAATTTCATATTACAATCCCTACTACTATTATCGTCCTAGCTCTCTAAGATTTTATTAATGTTAAGCTGTATTCTTAGTAATTAATTTATTTATTGTAAATTATTTTTGTATTGTGTGACAAATAAAAGGAAACACACGTAAGTAGTGATTCATTTCATATTCATATTTATTTCTACAAAATCTATAAGCACAATTGCCTTCCCAACAAAATCATTTCAATATCATTATATTATTTTATCTATTTACATTGATTGGTTATAGTCGCATGTTATATATGCTTTAGGTACTTAAATTAGAAAATCATTGTACACTAAAATTGTATTATACTCATGGCAGTTGCGATAAGTGGTTGTTTCATTTGATTAGCAACAATACATGGATTTACAAATCGTCTTTTTACATTACGGTATGACACAAACATGATATTCGATTATTTAAATATTTTTGAATCACATATTTCCTTACACATTAAAAGAACAAGGTCATTAAAGTAAAAATCAGCAACTACTTTACATAGAGAGAAAATTACGAATAATTTACTTGATAAATAAATATCCTTCAATAACATTACACAAGGAATCATAATTATTGAGTTGTAAACAATACATTAATGTTCACGATAATGTTTATATTTTCATTCGTACGTGGTTATACAACCCGTAGTCTCGCAATGTGCTAGTGCGAGATGGTACACTGAGACTCATTTACCGGAACCCACGAGCGCTTCATCCATGAGTTCGTCGTCGGTAATACATGGTGAGTTGGAGTGTGGCGAGGGAGCCACCAGCGGTGATGGCGCGGGGCTCTTCGCCAGCTGTAGAGCGAGCGCCGGCGATGACGGGTATACTGGCCGTACCGCCACCAGCCCAGACACCTTACTGCCTGACGACGAAGAGAAGTCCAGCAACATCTCCGCCGCTTCCTGAGGAGTTGTTGCCCCGCTGCGTGCCACTGCACCGCTCGCCGGTGGTTTCATACATGAATCCGCACCTTTCCTATCTTCCGAACTGCCTTTTGGAGCCGCAAACCCCTTTGCCATTTCAGTTTTAAAATCCAAAGGCATAATAGGAAATGACGATGCAAAACCGTCTTTCGAATCATCCTTATTTCTGACAGGGCTTTCGCCTTTTGATATACTTTCAGCCATAGCTTTAGAAAATTCTAAAGGTCGATCGGACTGATCGTTTTTTCCAGGTGGTATTGTTTTAGGGCTCATGCTACCCATATTGAGTAGCGGTTTTGGCACGTTTAAAGGGTAAGCTGACTTTTGCAATGAATCAGCTGTTCTGGTGCCTTGATTGTCAAAGTGAGGAAACTGATATTTGCTTTGTTCCAGTGACCGAGCAAAGTCGTTAACCAATGATCTTTGGTCGTACTGACTCGCAGGACTGTTCTTGTCTGGAGTATTTTGATTTTTCAATTTTGGTATTTGGAACTTGCTTGTATCGAGAGGCTTGATCAAGCCTTCTACTAGAAAATTAGATTCTTTGGACCCTTTAAATCGATCTCCATCTACTTCATCTCTAGAGCCACTGGGGCTGGAATGGCGCTCAGATTTAGAAGAGAAAATTGATTTTTCCGAATTAGTCATGAGCTTAGTCCTGGCCTTCTCTCTTTCTCTGTCTCGAATAATTTTTGCGAGGTCCGTGCTACTGCTTTTGGGGGAACCAGAACTAGATTTAGAGCTGGATTTTGAGAGATTTATACCGGCATTACTTGTGCTCGATGATTTAGAATAAGGCACTTTGGGCATATTAGAATTACTAGATCCGGAGGAATCTGAAGGGCTCATATTTGCTTTCGGTGGTGTCGAGCCGGAGGTGACACTCCCGGATTTAGAAGATTGCATTGCTTGAGTCTTTTTTGAAGCGGGTCCACTTATGACACCTGGTTTTAAACCAGTATGAGTTTTGGGAGAGCCTTGACTCGGCGGAGTGAGCTGGGGCGACTTGGAACTTGAGCTACTGTAGTTTAGTTTGGAACTACTGCTCGAAGAATCTTTTGTTCTCGTTTTATTGATAGTGATCTTCATACCGTCGGAGCTCGGCTTCACCATATACTCTTGATTTTTGCTATCGCTAAGTTTTCCACTACTGCTGGGCATACTTGTTTTTGGATCTGAAAACTTGGCACTACTGGAAGAGCTACTAGATTTTGCACTGATTTCAGAATCTGTGCCACAGTGCTGGGCAGACTTGAGCTTGTCTATCACAGCGCTGAGGGATCCTTTCCTGTTACGAGCCTGGCTCGGAGCATTTGATTTGTTCACTTCAATGTTAGGTGGGGATATCAAAGGTTCCGTTACAGGACTATCACAGGTTACGGGGGTTATTTCTAATTGTTTCAATTTAATTGGGTTTTTTAATTTAGGGCTACTCCTATCGGAACTAGAAAAAGATAAACTGGAATGTTTCTTTTCTTTATCCCTTGATGTAACTGAGCTAGAGCTATAGCTGTCTTTGGATAACTTTTTTGTGAGATCATACCCTGTCGTACCTGATTTACCTGATGGCGATCCGCTAGTCGCAGATTTGAGAGCTGACATACTTGGTTTTCCCGACCCCGAAGAACTGTGCTTAGGGGACGAGACGCTGTGGTTTTTTGGACTCGAATAACCAGGTAAATGTTTGGGACTATTTTGAACGGGAGAATGTCTGGGGCTACTGTGGTGACTAGACGTCCCCGACGGCTTTCCCATCCCCTTCACAGTGCTAGGACTCGGCGATTTAGTTATCGAAACAGATCGGCCGTGTGTTGGACTTGGACTAAATTTTCGTATAAGGGAGTTTGGGGAAGTCGCGCGTAAAGGGGACCCATCGGTGGGTTTGATGCTCACTGATACCGGCTTCGTGAGCGGGTCTTGTTTAGGAGGTACTTTCTCAGGCGGGCCCATGGAGTCATCTCTCCTACGCTTCTTTTTCTTTTCCTTACTGCGTTCTTCCCCCGACCTGCTGGATTTCTTCTCGGATCTGATACGATCGTCAAGCGTTTTCATTTGTGATGATGTTATTGGAGTAATTGTAATGGAGCTGGGCAGAGCGGCGGGCGCGGCCGCAGTGATGGGGATTATTTCAATCCCGGGCCGTCTGTCCAGGCATAACATGGAAGAGATGGTGGAACCCGTGCCTGCGTTGGGTGTGTTCGATGTGCTACCAATAGGAGTTATGCTTACCGAAGAAGGCATATAAGACTTCCCTTCTGTTAAATCCAAGAGGAGCGAGGACGCACTCCTGTTTGTGCGTATTTCGGAGTCTTTGGTTTTAAGTTTTTGCCTTTTGTGATCAGACTTGTGAAAAGAATTCCTGGAAAGAATGAATCAAGGTGTAACATTACTTTATCAAGATATATTGTAGGTAAACGATCAAATAAGGTTTAGATTACAAACCGGATGATATCGTCGACGTCTCCATCGTTCGAGTTGTCCATGTCGGAGGAGGTCCTGTTGTCCTGGGCACCGAGTGCGTCGGTGGCGTCCATGGCGGACAGTTCCATGTCTGACGTGAACTCATTCTGGGACACGGAGGACTCGCGCCCTTCCATATCATCATTGGTAGAGTTACTGTTGTTGGTGTTCTCGTCTTCATTGACATATTCGTCTGAGTTATCACTCTCACTATCAGAGTCCATCATTTCAGTGATGCCTGATGGTTTGCCCTTCTTCTGAGTTGAAGCCCAGACGTCATCTGACTTTCTCTTTTTAGATTTCCGTTCTTCGGTGGGCGGTTTGGTGTCAGTAGTGCCGGTGTCCTGGCACATTGCGGACAGATGGTGTTGCTGTTCCGAGAGATATGCCCCTGGGGACAAGGAGACCACATTATACGACATGTTAATAAATGTCGAATACTGTAACCATCGGCTCGTTCATACAAGAGCCTTGCATATCTGAATGTGTTAAAGTTACTGTATCTAGAACTATTTACTATTATGAGAACTATTCTATTTCTCTCTTTTAATTGAACGAAGGTCAAGCAGCATACATGAATGTCATAAATGTGTAGGTAATTTAAAAAGTACATTTTATATTTACTCACCGCCTTGGTGGGGATGGCTGACGCTAGAAGGATACATGGCCCGGGAGTGCATGGACCCGGGTTCGTGCTTGACTTGGTCACCACCCGGGTCGAGGCCCCCCAGGCCACAACTAAAATTTGGCTCCAAAGCCGAGTACCCGCCGTTTAACTGCTTGCTTGCCGCTTCTCGTTCCCATATTTTTATTAGGGCCCTAAAACAATTGGAACTATTAAGTGTAGTGTACATTAGCCAAGAATGTATAAGGTTTCAGGAATTCGAATTCCGTTCTAGACAAAGTTACATAGGATTATCGATTTTTTTATTTTCCTAGTAGGAATTTGGATTTGTAATGTAATAGGCATGCCCCTGCAGTCCGCAAAGGCTTATAGTACTGACAATGCGGGTATTACATGCGAATACATTGAAGTTTTATAGTGAGTAGAAGTTTTATTTTGTGCTGTGTTTCGTCGTGTGAGTGAGGTTACCGGAGGCCCAATTACCCCCCCCCCCTTCCGCAATCTCCCCAATTCCTGAATCCCCAACGATCCTCAAACTCCCAATTCCCAAAAGGCCGGCAACGCACTTGTAACGCCTCTGGTGTTGTTCCAGGTGTCCATGGGCGACGCGATGGCGATTGCTTACCATCAGGTGATCCGTCTGATCGTTTACCGGCTTATGACATAAAAAAAGTAAAGGTATTAACAAAATGCTCCTTTTAGTAGAGTTGATTTTTCTATATAACTATTGCCCGAATACTTAAACGCTACTCAATTTGTAGTATAGTTCTGTCTCTACAAATTCTCTGTAAAATGACAGAGATGGCACTTAACTATCGGCTCGATAACAGTCTTTCAGTATTCGAGCGGCGGGCGTATAGGATTTTAATAAATCGAAAAATTATTTCAAGTACTAACCTCAGCGTAATAGGAATAGAATGCGTCTTCTGCAGCACAGAAGTGATATAATCATCGATATGTTGCGCTGGCGCCGAATGCAGCGTGTAGAGAGAAGCGCGCGGCGCGGCGGGGTCACTGAGCTCGAGCTCCACCGTGGCCATGCTCTCGTCTGCAGGGTGCTCCAGCGATATGGAGATATGTTGCCAGGATAGGGCACTCACTTCGAACA